TCCGCTGCCTCTCCCACTTTAACCTCAATAACAATCCGGAGCTAGCTGGGAGCGGCTGGCGAGGCGTTAGCCGCAGTATGACCGGAGGTCAGCTAGCCCCGGCTCTCTGTTTGGATCCAACCGGAGCACCGAGCCCTGGTTTGTTATTCAGGTTAATGTGGGAAGAAGCAGCGGGTTTATCGGGCAGCTGAGTGAAGCTGGGTGAAGTGGAGGCTGCGGAGGAAACACCGGGATGGGTTAATGTCTGGAGCTTGAGTTATTAGCGGCTCGGTCCCAGCAATGGGTCAGGCGTTACGGTTGTGTTAAGTGAGTAAGTTAGCCCGGCAGCCCAGCTAACATTTTCAATTAGCATTGTAAAATGTAGCCTCCCCACGAGGCTACATTTTTGTAATATATTTGCTGAGATGGAGGCGAGGCTCAGTGACTAGAAGAGCTGATAGAAGCGCTCCATGGCGGTAAGTTATTCCAGTAGCAGGTGGCAGCCAACTCGGCTAGTGCTAACACCGGGACCTAACGCTAACGTTCCTCCTCCTCTTCTCCGTGAGTGAGAGCAATGTTTTAGCCTAGCGGGCAGCTGGCTCGCGGGCTGCCCACTAGGCTAAAACATCGCTTCAGGTTAAAGTGGGAAGAAGCAGCGGGTTTATCGGGCAGCTGAGTGAAGCTGGGTGAAGTGGAGGCTGCGGAGGAAACACCGGGATGGGTTTCATTAGTTCATTTTCAACTACGCACCTTTACTGACTCTCTCAACTTACTACAAGCACAACAGTCTGGTTTTCACCCGGATCACAGCACCATAACAGCTGCAGCTTCAGTTATCGATAACATTGTCTCCTCCCTGGATAATAAACAATTTTGTGCCGCCCTCTTCATCGACCTCTCAAAAGCTTTTGATACTCTAGATCATAAAATCCTTCTCCATAAATTACAGTCCATAGGTCTCGATGAAGCCACAATTGATTGGTTCCACTCTTACCTTACAGAGAGAACTCAGACTGTGGTCGCTGATGGTACCCAGTCAAGGCAACTAGTCATCAGAAACGGGTTGCCACAGGGGTCTATCCTCGGTCCATTGTTGTTCACGTTATACATAAATAATACATAAATAATATGGTCAACGTCCATTTTTTTGCTGATGATACTATTTTATATGCTTCGGGCTCCACTCCAGCCGAGGCTCTGAGTCATCTACAGTCTGCCTTTGATGATTTTCAATAATCACTCATTAATCACAGACCAGTTTTAAAAGCAAAAAAGACCAAGTTCATGGTATTCTCTACCTTCACCAGTGACTCGGGATATCCTGCCATCAAAACTTTAAATGGCAGCCATATTACTCAGGTTGAGTCCTACAAATATCTCGGAATTACACTTGACAGTCGACTAACATTCAAGACTCATATTCAACAGTTGACTCAAAAATTAAAAATCAAACTAGGCTTCCTGTATAGAATTAAAGGCTGTCTGTCTTCTTCCAGCCGTAAAACTATTGTGCAGTCAACGTTCATGTCTGTTCTGGACTATGGTGACATTCTGTATTGTCATGCTGCTCCATCAACACTTCAGCAGATAAACCCTGTGTATCACAGTGCATTACGGTTTATCACAAATGACGCATTTCGTACTCATCATTGTTCTCTGTATCAAACAGTTGGATGGACTTCCTTACAGACAAGAAGAAATATCCATCTCATGTTATTTATTTTTAAAGCTCTACTTTTAAAGCTACCAAACTACCTCACATGTCTTCTCTCTTTCAAATCCAGTAACTACAATACATGATCCAGTAACTACCTATCCTTAGATATCCCCTGCATGCGCACAAATGTTGGTAGATCTGGTTTCAGGTACTATGCACCTTTTAAATGGAACGAGTTACAATCAACCCTTAAACTTGAATCTCTTGTTCCTCTTGGAGTTTTTAAAGCTTCTCTATCCGATGTTTTTCGTGATTCATGTAACTATTTTTATTAATTCCTTGTTGTGTTGTTCCTGCTTGTGTCTGTGTGTTTTTGTTGTTATGGATGTTGCTTTGTTCTCAGGTCTCTCTTGAAAAAGAGATCTTGATCTCAATGAGACTGCCTGATTAAATAAAGATTAAATAAAAATAAAATAAAATAAAATCATTGAAGCAGGCAGGGGAATAGCTAAACACAGCAGAGACCGAGGTATCGCTAACTGCTAGACGAGGCGAGTGGGGGGTGGTGGGGGGTGGAGAGCAGAGGTAGAGGGAGGAGTGGCTCATGACACACTTTGTTTTGGTCTACAGGCAGTGCACAACAGCAAACCTAGCGGTGAAACGATTTCGCTTTTTGCCCCTTTAAGGTACACTTTTACCTTGAAATTCACATTGCACGTCTGTTTCACCATTTCTGTTTACCTGCTGCAGCCTGGCGCCAGGCAGGAAATGGCAAGCACACGTCTTTCACGACGTGTGTGATGTCATCGGGTTATTCTTGTCCTATTTTTATTCAGTCACTGTGTCTGTTCATGTGCCAGCCGAAATGTTGTTGTAGTAACGTAAAAAGCGCCAACAGACGGCAGGAGCTACATTTGAAGTACCGTATGTAAACATACAAGTTACTGTATCCTCCACAACCAAGTTCCTAGAAATGTTTCAAAATAAAAGCCTATTTAGAAAATGGAGGGATTTTCTCAGCCGAGGTTTTAAGGGGCTTTTAATTTAAAACAAATTCAGGAAGTGTTGAGTTTGAAATGACGGCGCGATGTATTAACTTTATAAAAACAACAGGAGCGGATAAAAAGTAATTATATAAAAACACAGAGGGATTAATAAATAATGGCCCTTTTACAATGTAGTCTGTTTCAAATGAAGCTGGTAGCCTCTGCAGTTGTGATGAGTAAAAGCCCTGCCTCTTTTAATTTTCTTACTTTAAGTCATCTGGTGAAAATTTTTGTATTTATTAATGCAAGCTCTACATTCTACTGTAGCCTTTAAAATGTCTTTTTTTTTTTTTTACCAAATTGTGTGGCTGCACTTTAATATGCATCTTGATCTGTGTCAACACTGGATAATACTAATAATAATAAAAAAAAAGTTTTATGGCATTAATTCTACTATTATGTATTTATTTCTTAATATTTTACATAGAGTTTTAGGAGTTGAGACATAAAATTATTCATATCCCATCCATTTTTATTTTACGCGCTGGTATCGGATCAGTACTCGGTATTGGCAGATACCTAAGGTTCAGGGATAGGAATCGGTATCTGGAAGGAAAAAGTGGTATTGGTACATCTCTAGCATAAATCAGCAGTGAAGCAGCATTTTGGTTTTCAGAGAAAAGACAGGTTAACAGAAAAAGCCCATGCTATATGCAAACTATGCTCCGCTCCCTCCGCCCCTCTCCTTCTCCGCATACGCACAGGTGACGGTCAGTCAATGACACTTTTCACATTTAAATTGCACGATTAATGGAGGTTTTTTAACTAGTGTAGATAAGTGTACAATGTTTTATAATAATGATTTATTCTATTTAATGTCAGTAACTAAATAGAATAAATTTAAAAAAATTAGAGTTAGTAACTCAGTTACTAACTCAGTTACTTTTGGGGAAAGTAACAAGTAACTATAATTACTTTTTTAAAGTATGATCCCGACACTGCCTGTCAGCATATTGACTCTGACTGGCAAATGAAGAAATGAATGAATTATGTTCTGTTGCGTGCACACGTGAGCACGGTCCACAGAGAGGCAGTCAGAGCTACAGGCTACAGTGAGGCTAAAAACAGAGTTTAAATGACGTTTTTCCAAACAACTTTTTATGTTGGGGCTTCAGGACACTTGGATCACTACGGACGAGCAGTATGGAGATAATTTGTGATTTCAATTCTGTGTTCTTGGACGTTTTAATCTGGGTCGCCATCAGCCATCAGGTGTGCAGTTCTGCTGCTACCCACCTCCCCCTCGATCTCTGCAACTGTTGTGAGGACGCTAAAACTTTACCAGAGCCTCCCTCAGCTAGGGGTGAGTAGATGATGGCTGAATTTTCATTTTTGGGTGCACTATCCCTTTAAAGAATTTTCAAGGATGCATGTGTGTATCGTCAGCATGCATTAAGTACCCACAATTCTTTGTGCTCAATTTGCTAAAATTGAAGGTGTGGCCTCTTAAATGAAACACACCTGGGCACCTGCTCACCTGCTCTCTCGCTCTCACTCTTTCTTATGTGTGTGTGTGTGTTCATCTCTGTTTAGATACCACTGACTAATATGTATAGCCTATATTCCTGCCCGGCTTGACACATTTGTTCGTGGCTCGTGCCAAAAATAGACCAGACGCCGAAATGATCGCTGCAGCGCCAGCCGCGGAGCTGCGCGGCGCGGCCGGTGTGGATGACACAATCGGTTAACATGGGCGCCGAAAGGAAACTGGCTTCGCTTCTCGGCGCTTCGAGGCTATCCGCAGCGCTTCCGCATCCGGTGTGGCCCTGGCGTAAGAGGCCTCGCTGCTGCATTCTGAACTAGCTGGAGGTGGGATAGTGACTTTTGGTTGATGCCAGAGAGAGTGAAGTTACAATAGTCGAGTCTGGAGAGAAGTCTGAGTTAGGGCTGTGACGGCAAATATTTTTTCTCACAGCGGTGAGACGTATCACCACAGTATGGCGGTGATACGTCACAAGCCCCCCACGAGAAACTGATACTTCTTTTCGACAAATAAGGCATACTGCCTCATCCAAATTCACTGGCTGCCCCTTGTCATCTGGCACAAATCCAAAATGTGCCCAAATTGGCGACTTAAAGGAATACTCCAACGATTTGGGAGTTATGCCCTTTCCCTATCATTTTCATATTGAGACAACATGATGGATATCGTTGCCTACAGTAAAAGTGAACAAATAAACGTTACAGAAACCCTGAAGCTGGCATTTCTGTACGTGCATTTAAAATAAACATGTTTAAACATTAATTCAAAAAACGAGAGTCCGTTTTAGTCATTTTAGAAGAGGTTTGAAACATGAACTATAGTGTTTTTATGGCCTGCGCGGAGGGATACACTGATGTCAGCTGCAGCTGGCTCTGGGACAGGTACGCTAGGTCACTCGGTTAAAGCAAACAAAGACACGACACGGACGATATTACTCACTCGACTGAAAGCTGTCCATCAGCTCCTGCAGGCCTGGGCGTTATTTCCAGTTTAACTTAGTGATTGCTGCAATGATGGTAGCACCGAATCCCATTCTGTGCAGCAAAATGATTCCACCTTTGTAGGAATATGTTAGCTAGCCCCGCAGCTACACCACCAGTCCTCCCCTCGGCCCGTTGCTGCTCCGCTGCTCCAGAGGATTCAGCCTCTCTTCTCGCCCGGTCAGCATCCAACACCTGGGAGTTCCTCATCTGTATGCTCCAGCTCAAACAGGTATGGCTCTGGATCTGTGCCCGCTACAAGAAACTCCTCAAAATCGCGTTCAAAGTTGTCCATTGCAGCTACTATAGTCCGGAGATATCGCTAGGCTCAATAAACGGCTGAGTTTTGTTTACAGGCTACGTCTGTGCCTGTGTCTGCTCACTGGATCATAGCACCGGACATACTGACCCCAATGCTAATTGCTGAGACTCAGCCACTGGACGTACAGACACAAAAATGATATCCATCATGTTGTCTCAATATGAAAATGACAGCGAAAGGGCATAACTCCCAAATCGTTGGAGTATTCTTTTAACATTTGGCTTGGGAACCAGATCCACCGCCATGATGAATCAGCTTTATTTTTTTTTGTGTGTGGTGATGACCTCTTCACCGCCAGAGCAGTAGGGGGCTGCGTTCCTTTCCTGAATGGTTATCGTCATCTCTAGTTGATTCTCTGTTTAGCTTCCAGCTTTTTCGGTCACAGTGAACAATGGCGACCGAGAGAGAGGGAATCTTGCTGGAGTTGGAGTTGTTGGATGTCAAAGAAAGTATGTTAATACTGCAACATCTACATCACATCAGAAGATGTTTAAAGATGGCGGGGATGGTGCAATACGGAACCGGAACCTCGACGTGTAGTTACATTTTTTGGGAGGTGCACGTCAGGCTACGCCGGGGGCTACGGTGAGCCTCCTGCGTAGCCACGTACCCTACGACGTAGGTACGTCATTGCTTTAACGCAGGACCATAAATCAGGCTTTACTCCCTGATTTCTGGCAGCAGGCTTCACTTTATCATACAGGAGAGCAAGGGCATTCACAGTGGTGCTGATAACGTTTGGCAGACTGAATGGTATGATTTTTGATTTTGAGTTATTGAGTTGAAGAACATTTTGTGCCATCCAACAGATGACATCACTTAAAACAATCTAAAACAGCAGCTAGGCTTTTTGGTTCACCAGGCCTCAGCAAAAGGTATATCTGTATGTTGTGCGTGTAGAAATGAAAATACATGTTGTAACATTGGATAAAAATCTGCCGAGTGCAAGGATGTAGACAGAAGATAAAATTGAACCTGGGTACACCACAGGAAGTGTGAGTTGTAGAAGATGAGTAAACTGACGACCCCTGACTAAGTCATATATTTTATGGGTATTTCTTTTCATATTCATTTCATAACAATAACCAACGACCAACTGATAAACTGTACAATTAACCCAAATAGTGAACTGCAGTGACTGTAGAGGTTTGTGTAAAACGAGCAATCCGGATCAGTTTGAGCCAATGTTTTCTTGTGCATGTTTCATCAATGATTATTTTCCTGATATTTTAGAAACTTTTTGTACAATTTTCTGTATTATGTATTTTTTTTCCAATTTTTAACAATCACACTTACTTAACAGGGTTCTTTTTGACAAATTCAGTGTTTTCTTCTCCCTGACGCTTGGCCAGTGATCTATTAGCTCTTTGCTTGTTTTAACTGTGTACTTTTCTGATGCAGGATGAAGCAGTTTAGCAGACAGTGAAGGCTCTCTGAATGCAGTTGGTGTTAAGGTCTTCACTGTGCATTTATCCTGTGAGACTTTTTTTTAGTTCATATCGTAAATAAAAATCTAAACTTTAAATATAACAATTTAATTTAGTTTTTTTCACAGAAATGAAAAAATCATGAGAAAAAGGCCCACTGTGTCCTCTAAAGGCCCTGAAACACCAAGCCAACAATCGGCTGTCGGTCAGTGTTAAGACCCTGGTCTTTGCAGTGTGTCCTACATGTTGAGTTGGCATCAGAGACAGCAGAGCCCGTCAGTCAATGAAATCACTCTGATTGGCAGTTAAGCTCAGTACACGAGAAAAGGAAACAGAAGTGAGGAAAGTAAACAAAGAGCTAAAGTCAAGAGGGAGTGAGACCTAAACAAATTTGTTATATTAGGTAAGATAATATTGTAGCCACTGAGCTCTTTAGCAGAAACTTTTAGTAACTGTTTGTGTTACTGTTTGCTGGCACAAAGTAAATATGCTTGGTTCTTTCAATGCTGGGTTGTGTTGTTAATGTGCTAACATTACCATGGGCGACACAACAGTTGGCTTTTTTCACCACTAGTTCTTTGATGTCAGTTTGGTGTGTCTGGGCCTTTACACCCTTAAAAAACTAGAAGGCCTCGCAACCCAACATGAAACTTAAGCAGGACGCTCAGGTTGGGAACTAGTATTCTACACACCCGGTGTCAGGTAGGTCTTTCCAGGGAAAAAAAAATCCTCTTATGCACAGCAAACAATGTGTTTCCTGCTTCCAGTTCAGAGATTATTTTTAATGTGTTTTTCCTCTATGGCTTTTTATATCCATTCAGTATAACTGTGGCATGTAGGTATCTGATGCACACATGGGAAATAATACACGTTATTTGTCTGAACAGGAATAAACATGTCTCAGTGGTGCTGACTGCCACATCTGCATAGCCAGTTTCTCCTTGCAGCCATAACTGGTGTAATACTATGATAAATCATTTGCAGTCTTTCAGAGTCAATGTGCTTTTAAGAATCCCAAACTCTGGCCAGAAACAAGACTTACATTTAACTTAGAGTTATTATTTAGGGAATCGTCTCTCCTAATGGCTTAAGTCTTACCTTTGTATGAAGCTTGGCAATCTGTTTCTCATCCACATTGGGCTGCCTGTAGACTCTGCTCTTGTAGCGGAACTGTTGAGTGAAAGCCAAATGATTAAAACACAGAAAAGGTCCAAAGCAAACCAATGTGTCTTCAAAATAAACTTACAATGTAGGTAAAAGACTTCATTTTTAGGGTTATGGAGGAAAACTTGGTGTGGTTAGGTGTAGAGTAACACATCATGTCTTGGGTTAAAAGTCACACAGTAAATTAACTCCTGAGTGAAATGCTAAGCTCAAATGGAACTCATGAGCTTGTGTTTACAATATGCAGGCATGAAAATCGCTCACCTTTCGGCGAAATTCGCCGTTTTGAATACAAAATAGGTGACCTACGTGAATCGTGTAGATCCGATGCGAAAATATTTTTTTGGGGGGGTGGGGTCTGTGAAGCGAAGCCACAGAAAAAAGACGTAGCAAACATATGCGCGTGGGCATTTCATGAGAGAAGTTGTCAGTCTCGTCCAATGGCCGGTCACCAAGTGGGCCGGTGGGGCCGGCCCGGTGAGGCTAGTGAATGTCAAGCTAGTTGCTAGCTGTCAGTGCTGCAATGCGCGTCCCTCCCATGTTGTTTGTTTGCTGTGAGATGTTCAGAGGGAACGTAGGTGTCAATCTTGTGTTTTGATGCTTGAAGGAGGAGATAAGAGCGGCCTCCTCCAATATGAAAGAGGCTCTCGTTTTTCTTGAAATCTGATTGGCTCAGCCGCAGTCATCAGTCAGTACTCATTGCAAACCTGAGGGGTATTCCAGGTAGGAGGTTCAACAAACTCTGAGTCTAACCCTGAACTCTGAGTTGATTTACCCTGAGATGGGAAACTCTGAGTTACCGGTTCCAGAACAGCTGATTTGAGTTAGTTCAGTCAACTCTGAGTATGTTCACTCTGAGTTAAGCCGACAATAAAAAGCCATCATCAATGGAGCTCCAACTCCACGATTCACCATGGCAACAGGTAAATAAAAGACAGCGCCTCCATTTTAATCCAGTGGATGTAGANTGGTTTCAGGTACTATGCACCTTTTAAATGGAACGAGTTACAATCGACCCTCAAACTTGAATCTCTTGTTCCTCTTGGAGTTTTTAAAGCTTCTCTATCCGATGTTTTTCATGATTCATGTAATTGTTTTTATTAATTCCTTGTTGTGTTGTTCCTGCTTGTGTCTGTGTGTTTTTGTTGTTATGGATGTTGCTTTGTTCTCAGGTCTCTCTTGAAAAAGAGATCTTGATCTCAATGAGACTGCCTGATTAAATAAAGATTAAATAAAAATAAAATAAAATAAAATCATTGAAGCAGGCAGGGGAATAGCTAAACACAGCAGAGACCGAGGTATCGCTAACTGCTAGACGAGGCGAGTGGGGGGTGGTGGGGGGTGGAGAGCAGAGGTAGAGGGAGGAGTGGCTCATGACACACTTTGTTTTGGTCTACAGGCAGTGCACAACAGCAAACCTAGCGGTGAAACGATTTCGCTTTTTGCCCCTTTAAGGTACACTTTTACCTTGAAATTCACATTGCACGTCTGTTTCACCATTTCTGTTTACCTGCTGCAGCCTGGCGCCAGGCAGGAAATGGCAAGCACACGTCTTTCACGACGTGTGTGATGTCATCGGGTTATTCTTGTCCATTTTTATTCAGTCACTGTGTCTGTTCATGTGCCAGCCGAAATGTTGTTGTAGTAACGTAAAAAGCGCCAACAGACGGCAGGAGCTACATTTGAAGTACCGTATGTAAACATACAAGTTACTGTATCCTCCACAACCAAGTTCCTAGAAATGTTTCAAAATAAAAGCCTATTTAGAAAATGGAGGGATTTTCTCAGCCGAGGTTTTAAGGGGCTTTTAATTTAAAACAAATTCAGGAAGTGTTGAGTTTGAAATGACGGCGCGATGTATTAACTTTATAAAAACAACAGGAGCGGATAAAAAGTAATTATATAAAAACACAGAGGGATTAATAAATAATGGCCCTTTTACAATGTAGTCTGTTTCAAATGAAGCTGGTAGCCTCTGCAGTTGTGATGAGTAAAAGCCCTGCCTCTTTTAATTTTCTTACTTTAAGTCATCTGGTGAAAATTTTTGTATTTATTAATGCAAGCTCTACATTCTACTGTAGCCTTTAAAATGTCTTTTTTTTTTTTTACCAAATTGTGTGGCTGCACTTTAATTTGCATCTTGATCTGTGTCAACACTGGATAATACTAATAATAATAAAAAAAAAGTTTTATGGCATTAATTCTACTATTATGTATTTATTTCTTAATATTTTACATAGAGTTTTAGGAGTTGAGACATAAAATTATTCATATCCCATCCATTTTTATTTTACGCGCTGGTATCGGATCAGTACTCGGTATTGGCAGATACCTAAGGTTCAGGGATTGGAATCGGTATCTGGAAGGAAAAAGTGGTATTGGTACATCTCTAGCATAAATCAGCAGTGAAGCAGCATTTTGGTTTTCAGAGAAAAGACAGGTTAACAGAAAAAGCCCATGCTATATGCAAACTATGCTCCGCTCCCTCCGCCCCTCTCCTTCTCCGCATACGCACAGGTGACGGTCAGTCAATGACACTTTTCACATTTAAATTGCACGATTAATGGAGGTTTTTTAACTAGTGTAGATAAGTGTACAATGTTTTATAATAATGATTTATTCTATTTAATGTCAGTAACTAAATAGAATAAATTTAAAAAAATTAGAGTTAGTAACTCAGTTACTAACTCAGTTACTTTTGGGGAAAGTAACAAGTAACTATAATTACTTTTTTAAAGTATGATCCCGACACTGCCTGTCAGCATATTGACTCTGACTGGCAAATGAAGAAATGAATGAATTATGTTCTGTTGCGTGCACACGTGAGCACGGTCCACAGAGAGGCAGTCAGAGCTACAGGCTACAGTGAGGCTAAAAACAGAGTTTAAATGACGTTTTTCCAAACAACTTTTTATGTTGGGGCTTCAGGACACTTGGATCACTACGGACGAGCAGTATGGAGATAATTTGTGATTTCAATTCTGTGTTCTTGGACGTTTTAATCTGGGTCGCCATCAGCCATCAGGTGTGCAGTTCTGCTGCTACCCACCTCCCCCTCGATCTCTGCAACTGTTGTGAGGACGCTAAAACTTTACCAGAGCCTCCCTCAGCTAGGGGTGAGTAGATGATGGCTGAATTTTCATTTTTGGGTGCACTATCCCTTTAAAGAATTTTCAAGGATGCATGTGTGTATCGTCAGCATGCATTAAGTACCCACAATTCTTTGTGCTCAATTTGCTAAAATTGAAGGTGTGGCCTCTTAAATGAAACACACCTGGGCACCTGCTCACCTGCTCTCTCGCTCTCACTCTTTCTTATGTGTGTGTGTGTGTTCATCTCTGTTTAGATACCACTGACTAATATGTATAGCCTATATTCCTGCCCGGCTTGACACATTTGTTCGTGGCTCGTGCCAAAAATAGACCAGACGCCGAAATGATCGCTGCAGCGCCAGCCGCGGAGCTGCGCGGCGAGGCCGGTGTGGATGACACAATCGGTTAACATGGGCGCCGAAAGGAAACTGGCTTCGCTTCTCGGCGCTTCGAGGCTATCCGCAGCGCTTCCGCATCCGGTGTGGCCCTGGCGTAAGAGGCCTCGCTGCTGCATTCTGAACTAGCTGGAGGTGGGATAGTGACTTTTGGTTGATGCCAGAGAGAGTGAAGTTACAATAGTCGAGTCTGGAGAGAAGTCTGAGTTAGGGCTGTGACGGCAAATATTTTTTCTCACAGCGGTGAGACGTATCACCACAGTATGGCGGTGATACGTCACAAGCCCCCCACGAGAAACTGATACTTCTTTTCGACAAATAAGGCATACTGCCTCATCCAAATTCACTGGCTGCCCCTTGTCATCTGGCACAAATCCAAAATGTGCCCAAATTGGCGACTTAAAGGAATACTCCAACGATTTGGGAGTTATGCCCTTTCCCTATCATTTTCATATTGAGACAACATGATGGATATCGTTGCCTACAGTAAAAGTGAACAAATAAACGTTACAGAAACCCTGAAGCTGGCATTTCTGTACGTGCATTTAAAATAAACATGTTTAAACATTAATTCAAAAAACGAGAGTCCGTTTTAGTCATTTTAGAAGAGGTTTGAAACATGAACTATAGTGTTTTTATGGCCTGCGCGGAGGGATACACTGATGTCAGCTGCAGCTGGCTCTGGGACAGGTACGCTAGGTCACTCGGTTAAAGCAAACAAAGACACGACACGGACGATATTACTCACTCGACTGAAAGCTGTCCATCAGCTCCTGCAGGCCTGGGCGTTATTTCCAGTTTAACTTAGTGATTGCTGCAATGATGGTAGCACCGAATCCCATTCTGTGCAGCAAAATGATTCCACCTTTGTAGGAATATGTTAGCTAGCCCCGCAGCTACACCACCAGTCCTCCCCTCGGCCCGTTGCTGCTCCGCTGCTCCAGAGGATTCAGCCTCTCTTCTCGCCCGGTCAGCATCCAACACCTGGGAGTTCCTCATCTGTATGCTCCAGCTCAAACAGGTATGGCTCTGGATCTGTGCCCGCTACAAGAAACTCCTCAAAATCGCGTTCAAAGTTGTCCATTGCAGCTACTATAGTCCGGAGATATCGCTAGGCTCAATAAACGGCTGAGTTTTGTTTACAGGCTACGTCTGTGCCTGTGTCTGCTCACAGGATCATAGCACCGGACATACTGACCCCAATGCTAATTGCTGAGACTCAGCCACTGGACGTACAGACACAAAAATGATATCCATCATGTTGTCTCAATATGAAAATGAAAGCGAAAGGGCATAACTCCCAAATCGTTGGAGTATTCTTTTAACATTTGGCTTGGGAACCAGATCCACCGCCATGATGAATCAGCTTTATTTTTTTTTGTGTGTGGTGATGACCTCTTCACCGCCAGAGCAGTAGGGGGCTGCGTTCCTTTCCTGAATGGTTATCGTCATCTCTAGTTGATTCTCTGTTTAGCTTCCAGCTTTTTCGGTCACAGTGAACAATGGCGACCGAGAGAGAGGGAATCTTGCTGGAGTTGGAGTTGTTGGATGTCAAAGAAAGTATGTTAATACTGCAACATCTACATCACATCAGAAGATGTTTAAAGATGGCGGGGATGGTGCAATACGGAACCGGAACCTCGACGTGTAGTTACATTTTTTGGGAGGTGCACGTCAGGCTACGCCGGGGGCTACGGTGAGCCTCCTGCGTAGCCACGTACCCTACGACGTAGGTACGTCATTGCTTTAACGCAGGACCATAAATCAGGCTTTACTCCCTGATTTCTGGCAGCAGGCTTCACTTTATCATACAGGAGAGCAAGGGCATTCACAGTGGTGCTGATAACGTTTGGCAGACTGAATGGTATGATTTTTGATTTTGAGTTATTGAGTTGAAGAACATTTTGTGCCATCCAACAGATGACATCACTTAAAACAATCTAAAACAGCAGCTAGGCTTTTTGGTTCACCAGGCCTCAGCAAAAGGTATATCTGTATGTTGTGCGTGTAGAAATGAAAATACATGTTGTAACATTGGATAAAAATCTGCCGAGTGCAAGGATGTAGACAGAAGATAAAATTGAACCTGGGTACACCACAGGAAGTGTGAGTTGTAGAAGATGAGTAAACTGACGACCCCTGACTAAGTCATATATTTTATGGGTATTTCTTTTCATATTCATTTCATAACAATAACCAACGACCAACTGATAAACTGTACAATTAACCCAAATAGTGAACTGCAGTGACTGTAGAGGTTTGTGTAAAACGAGCAATCCGGATCAGTTTGAGCCAATGTTTTCTTGTGCATGTTTCATCAATGATTATTTTCCTGATATTTTAGAAACTTTTTGTACAATTTTCTGTATTATGTATTTTTTTTCCAATTTTTAACAATCACACTTACTTAACAGGGTTCTTTTTGACAAATTCAGTGTTTTCTTCTCCCTGACGCTTGGCCAGTGATCTATTAGCTCTTTGCTTGTTTTAACTGTGTACTTTTCTGATGCAGGATGAAGCAGTTTAGCAGACAGTGAAGGCTCTCTGAATGCAGTTGGTGTTAAGGTCTTCACTGTGCATTTATCCTGTGAGACTTTTTTTTAGTTCATATCGTAAATAAAAATCTAAACTTTAAATATAACAATTTAATTTAGTTTTTTTCACAGAAATGAAAAAATCATGAGAAAAAGGCCCACTGTGTCCTCTAAAGGCCCTGAAACACCAAGCCAACAATCGGCTGTCGGTCAGTGTTAAGACCCTGGTCTTTGCAGTGTGTCCTACATGTTGAGTTGGCATCAGAGACAGCAGAGCCCGTCAGTCAATGAAATCACTCTGATTGGCAGTTAAGCTCAGTACACGAGAAAAGGAAACAGAAGTGAGGAAAGTAAACAAAGAGCTAAAGTCAAGAGGGAGTGAGACCTAAACAAATTTGTTATATTAGGTAAGATAATATTGTAGCCACTGAGCTCTTTAGCAGAAACTTTTAGTAACTGTTTGTGTTACTGTTTGCTGGCACAAAGTAAATATGCTTGGTTCTTTCAATGCTGGGTTGTGTTGTTAATGTGCTAACATTACCATGGGCGACACAACAGTTGGCTTTTTTCACCACTAGTTCTTTGATGTCAGTTTGGTGTGTCTGGGCCTTTACACCCTTAAAAAACTAGAAGGCCTCGCAACCCAACATGAAACTTAAGCAGGACGCTCAGGTTGGGAACTAGTATTCTACACACCCGGTGTCAGGTAGGTCTTTCCAGGAAAAAAAAAATCCTCTTATGCACAGCAAACAATGTGTTTCCTGCTTCCAGTTCAGAGATTATTTTTAATGTGTTTTTCCTCTATGGCTTTTTATATCCATTCAGTATAACTGTGGCATGTAGGTATCTGATGCACACATGGGAAATAATACACGTTATTTGTCTGAACAGGAATAAACATGTCTCAGTGGTGCTGACTGCCACATCTGCATAGCCAGTTTCTCCTTGCAGCCATAACTGGTGTAATACTATGATAAATCATTTGCAGTCTTTCAGAGTCAATGTGCTTTTAAGAATCCCAAACTCTGGCCAGAAACAAGACTTACATTTAACTTAGAGTTATTATTTAGGGAATCGTCTCTCCTAATGGCTTAAGTCTTACCTTTGTATGAAGCTTGGCAATCTGTTTCTCATCCACATTGGGCTGCCTGTAGACTCTGCTCTTGTAGCGGAACTGTTGAGTGAAAGCCAAATGATTAAAACACAGAAAAGGTCCAAAGCAAACCAATGTGTCTTCAAAATAAACTTACAATGTAGGTAAAAGACTTCATTTTTAGGGTTATGGAGGAAAACTTGGTGTGGTTAGGTGTAGAGTAACACATCATGTCTTGGGTTAAAAGTCACACAGTAAATTAACTCCTGAGTGAAATGCTAAGCTCAAATGGAACTCATGAGCTTGTGTTTACAATATGCAGGCATGAAAATCGCTCACCTTTCGGCGAAATTCGCCGTTTTGAATACAAAATAGGTGACCTACGTGAATCGTGTAGATCCGATGCGAAAATATTTTTTTGGGGGGGTGGGGTCTGTGAAGCGAAGCCACAGAAAAAAGACGTAGCAAACATATGCGCGTGGGCATTTCATGAGAGAAGTTGTCAGTCTCGTCCAATGGCCGGTCACCAAGTGGGCCGGTGGGGCCGGCCCGGTGAGGCTAGTGAATGTCAAGCTAGTTGCTAGCTGTCAGTGCTGCAATGCGCGTCCCTCCCATGTTGTTTGTTTGCTGTGAGATGTTCAGAGGGAACGTAGGTGTCAATCTTGTGTTTTGATGCTTGAAGGAGGAGATAAGAGCGGCCTCCTCCAATATGAAAGAGGCTCTCGTTTTTCTTGAAATCTGATTGGCTCAGCCGCAGTCATCAGTCAGTACTCATTGCAAACCTGAGGGGTATTCCAGGTAGGAGGTTCAACAAACTCTGAGTCTAACCCTGAACTCTGAGTTGATTTACCCTGAGATGGGAAACTCTGAGTTACCGGTTCCAGAACAGCTGATTTGAGTTAGTTCAGTCAACTCTGAGTATGTTCACTCTGAGTTAAGCCGACAATAAAAAGCCATCATCAATGGAGCTCCAACTCCACGATTCACCATGGCAACAGGTAAATAAAAGACAGCGCCTCCATTTTAATCCAGTGGATGTAGAAATATTAATGCATGTGTAGCAGACGGTGCACGTTTATCTTTAAAAGAAGAGCCTGAGTCAGAGCGAGGAAAGTGTAAATAAGTTAACCATAAAGTTAATAAAAAAGTTTTATTCAGTGTTGTCCGTTTATTCATCATTTATCAGACTTACATAATTCTTAATGAAGATAAAGTGATGGAATCTGACTGTGTATCAGGCTGTCGATAATTACATTATATTAATAATATATAATAATATATTTGTTCAGATTTAATCTGATGGGGAAAAACACAGGAGGCAGCAACTGAAAAATAGGAAGATTTAAAACATATAGGCTAGGCTATAGATCAAAGACGTAAAAGACATAAAGACATGACTGTAAACTCACAGTCTGACCCAGTAATAATATGTTTGGTGATTTGCACTTGAAAAGACGTTGAGGTTAAAATACAGTAGATTTTAAAATGTTGCACATCTATTTGTATCTTGGCTCAACAGCATTCAGTGACTTTATTTCAGCTACAAATGTAGTAAATTTAAAGACACTGAAATGCTGCACCAATGCTCACTCAGAAATATAAACATAAAATCCACAATATTAGGCTATAGGAATTATGTTCCATCAGTGAGACCAATGACATCAGTGATAGAGATCATTAGTCATTGATACTATGTGTCTAAAGCTTCATACTACCAATTTTTAAAATTTAAATAATTAGACCTACATATTATGTGCAATAAACATTTGGGAGCTGCTCTAACAGACTGACAGTCTGATCCTTGTGCAAAGTGTTATAAAAAATAATAAATATAAAAAGGACAGAAGTTTGATTCTGAGCTGAGGATGAATTCTCGCTGTGTAATATTTGAATGTTAAGACAAAAACCTATGTCCAAAGAAATGATTGATGTGCATAAATTCAGTAACTTAAGACAGTCCTGAGTAACAAACTAATATCCAGCAGGATTTAGACTGTGACAGATGGTAAATCTCTGCTAATTAATGCGCTTCGATACAAGCTTTGACACGGACTGAATGAATGAGGAAATGAAACAGCGTGTAAGAGGGAGGAGACAGAGAAAAACCCAGGGTTTATTGAAGAAAACCTGTCAGCGAGCAGGTTATGTTCACAGAGTCTGTTACCATGGTGACTGACTCAGAGTTTCAGTTACCTCTCTTTCTGGAAC